CCCAGCCCCCCGGCTGCAGCCGCGACGCCCAGCCTGACCGTGCCCTCCGGTGCCGTTGGCAGGACAGCCCCTGCGCGGGCTCTGGGCCACCCCCCGCGACCCGCACAGCCTGTGGGTGCAGTGGGAGGCGCCCGCAGCCCCGACCAGCGGCTACGTGCTCGAGTGGCGCAGCGTGCCCCCCACGGAGCCCGGCGGCCGTCCCGGCTGGCAGCTGGAGCGCAACCACAGCGTGACCGGGGCCCTGATCCGAGGTGAGTGGCGGGGTGGGGCTGGTCCCAGCCACGGCTCCAAGCTCGAGCTCTGGGCCTGAGCTGCTGGGGCTCCTTTTTCTGCCCTCTGTTCCCCACCCACCTGCCCCACGGGGCTGCAGGGCCTGCTGTGCGCTCGCAGGGCTCCTGCCCTGATGTCCGCCCCTCAGTGCCGCGGCAGGTCCCAGGCGCACGGTGGGGCGGACGCATGCTGAGCCAGGCGCAAGCGACTGTGGTGCTGGGCACACCGGCTGTCACTGCTGGGGGCGGGTGGGGAAGAGGCCTGGACAGCAATGCCCTGCCACGTGAACGGCCCCCGCTGTCCCTTTCCCTCGTAGATGGCATTGAGCCCTTCCGGCGGTACAACATCTCTGTGTACCCTCTGTACGCAGACGCCATGGGCATGCTGCGACACACAGTCACCTACTCCCAGCAGAAGGGTATGTATCCTGCCACGGCTCCCGTCCCAAGTGGCCCTGCCAGCTCAGGGTTCATACCAGGCACCATGGCCTGGATGCAGCCACTTCTGGGGTGGAGCCTGCAACCCCTCATTCAGCAGGCAGAAAGTTAAATCCAACTGAACAGCAGAACTGGCAGCCCCAGGGCCTCACCCAGTGGTAGGGCAGGTGCTGAAGAGCAAAGGCACGGGGGCCAGCTGGAGGCAGCACTGAACTGGGAAGGGGCCTGGGCTCCAGCACCCTTCAGGACTTCGTGCTCCTCCCCACCGTCCTGTCAGCCCTTGCCTGGCGTCTACATGGGGCAGCCTGGGGGGAGCCTCTGACTGCCGCTGACCTTGACTGTGCCTGTCCCCCCACTCCAGCTCCCTCGAGCACCCCAAAACTGCACCTTAGGAGCATCAGCAAGTACCAGGCTGAGCTCAGCTGGCAGCCGGTGCCCACGGAGCTGCAGAATGGCTTCATCACCAATTACACCATCTTCTGGGCCAGCACCTCTGCCAACATGTCCAGTAAGTCCTGCCCGCCCCAGCCCCAGCTCCGGCACTGCCGACTTCCAGCCCCCACTCAGCAGCACTGGGCCACGCACCCATCTGCCCAGTCAGCCGATGTCTTTAGCCCTAGCCATTGTCTCGTGGCCGAGGCGCGTGGCAGCACGGAGTTCAGAAACTCAAGGGCAGAGGAAGACAGCAGGGTCTCCGCTGGACTGTGGCTGGAGCA